ACGACCCAAAAGTGTCCCGCATGTGCAGAAGAGGACACGACGACGTCACACGCAGCGAGCGTGTTCAGTGTTTATGGAAGTAAACATGGATGGTAACGGTGGAGCGTATCTGCCACTCCTCCGCCGCCACCGATGGTGGAAACAGAAGTGTGAGCGCTAACTAAACTAGCATCAGCAGCCAAGTACTGCCTGTGTGTTCTGGACACTTCCACCCCAGGGGTCCACTCCGATGGGGTGGAAGTGGCCGGAACGTGCACAAGTGCACCGGTCAGTTAGGCTGAAATCCAGTGATGCGTAGTTTTCTAACAACACACTAGTTATTATAACAACTATGAACAACACTTAACAAGTAATTAGCCTTCCAGCATCAAGCCCTCCTTGTATCTCGACCTCCGTCTTGACAATCCGACAGCCTTGCTATCCGACAGAAAAGAAGGTTTTACATTCAGTGTCAGATTATCGAGTCACGACTGTATTTTGACCACTTCTCTATAATGCTTACATCATCTGATTTCTTTTTTTGCTAGTTTTCCAACTATTTTACGGGTCTTGTGTTTATATTTAAGTGCAAGTTGTGAAGCCCTAATGATGCTACAGGGAAACCTAAAGAGCAGTTTCACACTGTTGCGCATGTAAAGGACCTCTGTGCTGCAGCTATTGTTAAGCTCAAGAGGCCCATTGACATAAATTATTCAGAGCGTGTTTCATCGGTATAAATGCGGAGCAGAGTGTGAATATTTTATAGGATTCATTTAGACTGCGTCAGCAATTAAAATTCATCTGAAGGAGGCAGTAGTCGCGCCCCCAACCCCAACCTGTCCAGTGATGCCAGCAGAGATCATGGCTGCCAGTCCGAGCCATCCAGATGTCAAAACCACTGAGTGTTTAGAAAACAGCTGTGTTCTAAATCTGGGGTTTAGAGGAGAACATCTGGACATTCTCAGCACTTTTAAAATGATCTAAATGAATTACACACAAGCCGGCGTTAACTATCAGTGGGTCACTCTCTCTCGTCATCCTCAGAGCTGACGGGCTCGGTCTATCAGCAGCGATACAGCATCGCCGGCGGTCAAAGATAAACTGCCTATCTGCCCCTCAGGCTCCTGAAATAACCATGTGTTTAAATATAATAGCAGTTGACCCCTGACAGCGGTGGGTCTTTGTCTCCCTTAGCTCATCACCCATCGTATACCGATTACAAAGAGGCTGGTATGTTTTTCTCCTTCTTCTTTGAACCCGATTACAGTGTTGTCATTTTTAGAGTTGCTTTATCGTCTGATGCGGTGTCTGAAACTTGTAATGGTCCTGCCCTTGTCAGGAATGTGCTCCATTCACTCGCTCACCAGTCAGGTGATTAGCTTCTTTATTTATGAGCATCGTTGAATATGTGGTTTTGTGGCATCTGATTGTCAATTAAATTTGCTCAATGTTTTCATTCAAACATTTGTTCTACTGTTCGGATTTCTAATCAATATTCTCTCCACTGTCTGGTTGAGGGTGATGCCTTTTCTCCACCAGGCGTTTACAATCTGGGTTTCAGTCTTTTTTCCTACAGAATGTTTGCTTGCACATCTTTATGCCTCAACAGATCGGCTGATGTAGTTTAATCAGAAAGCATTTAAAGCTCTTATTCGATGCGGTTAATCGATGCCTGTCCTGTGAGCTTCTTTCGTTCTTTTCGTGCTTTCATTGTGTTGAAGTCAAACATTTTTGCAGTCCAGCTTCTGGATATTTGCACTCTCTTTTTTTAGGATCAGGAATTCTTTTTGAATCTGCACGAGGGCAAAACAGAACGAAAACCACCCAACGAACTCTCGACTTCTTCTTCCATGATTGCTTGGATGAACTGGAAGAGCTGGAATCTGTGTAAAAATGATCCTCTTGGTTCCTGGCGTTCGCATAGGCGTCATTTTCACACGTACCGCCCGTCTAAAAACATTGTTCACCTATGGCAGCATGATTCCCAGACAGCTGTGGCCTCTCCCGAGTAGAACAATGCGCCCCCGTAACACCGCTAAGATTATTCAAGAACAGGTAGACGAACATGGCAAAGTGTGGATCTGGCCTCCCAACATGATCAAGCATCTGTGGGACGGGAAGGAACCAATCTCGGATCATGTCCTGATGACGAGGAGTCTGTTTGTGGTTTTAGTGTTGGGACTGACCCTCAACACGGATGAATTTGACTAAAATTTGTGCACTGTGAAACTTCTGACACAGCGTTAGACTGCTGCTGCGATGAAAGCTGGCTGATTAGCCCAATCTGGGGTGTGTTGCTTATCGTAACAGAAAGACACGATAGAGGATTCTGGAAAGTCCTGATTGAGGGTTTATCTGATGCCAGAACTCTGCTATCATGGTGACGGTCATCTTCGGTGTCCCTTAGATGCGACATTTACGCGGAAAAGCATTCCACTTGGTCTGCATTGTGAGCGATAGGATAGCGAGTCGAGTATGAAAAACTGCCTCTTGAAAGGTGGACAGAGTAATAGTGAAAGTATCACTGCTGCACACACGCAAAAAAAACAAGCACTCCTCCAGCCCTACCCTTTCAGGAGAAAATTCCAGCCATATTATAGCAGAACTAAAAAAGACAATGCCTGAATAAAAAAAAAATAAAAATCTAGGCGTTGCAGACGGACACGGCTGACCGAGCACAGCGGAAACATTGCTTTAATTATCTAACACAAGGGGCTGGCATTGCCCACTTTAAAAGTCTGCCTACATGTGGTTTTGAGTTGCAACGTCCATTCCTTCTCACGTAAGATCATGTAATCGGCCCTCTTTCAATCGCATTGGGCAATCTAAGCCTTGCGCAAGTGGCAACACAAAGGCTTCGCTCCCCTCTCGTCTTACTTCACAACATGCTAAACTGAGATAATGCTTTATTCCTCTTTCTGGGGAGTGGGTGTGAATACAAATAGGTCAGTAGCCCAACCCCCCTCCCCTTTAACGGAGCAGGCAGCAACAGCAGCAGAGACGGCGTGACGTGGTGGGAGAGCGTAATGCCACCAAGCCCGGAGCTGCTTTTCAGAGCGAACACACAGCTCACAGCGCTTCCCTCCCGTTCATCTTCCTCCTCCCCCGCCGCTTACACCCCTCCAGCCCTCTCGCAGACAGCACAGCGACAAAACAGAGCGGAGCGTGAGCGGCTGCTGAATGAGCAAAGGCGAGAGAGGAGGAAAAAAAACGAGAAAGGACACACGAGCACATTGGAGGGAGAGCCGTTAACACGTGAATCAAAGAGGAAGAGCGAGAGGAAGCGGGGAGCAGCGCTGAAATCAGAAGGAAAAAAAAAGCTGAACGCAAAGATGTGAGGCTTCTGCATCATTCAGATATGCGCTGCTGCTTTGATATACACAGCATGACAACGAGGGCAGCGAAAGGACCCAGGGCTGCAGATAACTGTCAACCACCGACTCCCTTCTCCCTTCGGTCCGAGGAAGCGGCGGCGGCGGCAGCAGCAGCTCAGCACTGTTAGAATCGAGCCTCTGGGGACAATGCGCCAAGGCAGATGGAGAGACTGCAACACGGGAGCTCTGACACATGTTCTGCCCATGCACACGCTCTGGTGCATGCATGTGGTGAAGAGCCATGAACGCTAAAATTTCCCTGCGATTAATGAAACACAATCCCTCTAAGTAACAGCCAAAAAAAAAAAAAAAAAAGAAAAAAAAAGGGGGGAGGATTTGTAACACGATGCAGAGGAGGAAATGAACGAGGACACGAGCAATCAAGCTCAAGATGTATGTGTCTGATTTGGCCGAGGGGAGCAGAGACCGAGAGGGTGATCAGTCTGCCAGGATTGTAAATTCATCACCGACAAGAACGATGGCTCCCAGAAACAGACTAAGCTAAAACGGGTGAGTTTGTGTCGTGAAGGACTCGCAGACGCACATCAATACGGTGTCACACCAATGCTGTAAAATCAATCGGTTATTGTGCACCCTACAGGATGTGACTGATAGGAGGGTTTCTGAGAGGAAACTCTTGCTTCTATTTCTGTTGATGCCTGCCAGAGAGCCAGCATAAGTCTTTTCAGCTCTCACAAACCGCTCTTTGTCTTGTTGGGGTCCTTTAAAAGGGTAGTGTGTAATTCAGTATATATATAAAAAAAGAAAAGAAAAGAAAAAAAGCTGAGAACACCACTTCAGGGTGCTGGTGGTGCCATAAGCTGCTCATTCTGTAACAGCAAAGGAATCTCGAGATGAAACAGAAGCTCGTATTCTCTTCATTCTTGGTATGAAAGCAACAGAAGACGTGTCTGTATGCAAGCATCTGAAGATCATGTGACCAACAACAAGTTTCTGTCACGCTGATGTACAAGTTCAGTCAAGTTTACAGAGTTGTTTATGTTTATCCCTGATGGTAGGTTGTGAGAAATCAGTGATGCTGCACTGCCGGTTAACTTGTCACGATTTGCTACAACAAGCATTATGAGGCATTACGGTGCTGGTAATCTGTCGAGCCACAAGAGAGCGGTGCAGGGAGGAGTCGGAGCGGAAAGGACAAGGGAATGTATGTCAATTTTCAAGGTTAATAACCATTAAAAATGTGCATCACAATACAAAATGAGACTAAGTTTGTATAAAAATGAACGGGCAAGGACAATACAAACCAGGAAAAAAACAGTGCTATTTATGACCTTTAAAGATTAAAAGAGTTTATTTGCACGTTTCTGGCCACTTGATTAACGTCCAGGTGCAAAATTCTCTCACCTTTGAGCTCTCTCCACCAACTCAGGAGGTGTTGACCAATTGGTTACTAACTTTGACTGCAAAGTTTGTTTTATTTTTACTAAAAACGTGAACCTAAATGGCAAAAACCCGCAACTCGTAATATAAGAATGATATTTCTGTGTCACGATAAGAGACCTTTTTAACACAAAACTAAATATGACATCCGTTGTCATGAAATACTGATGATAGCAGCTTAATCGGGACACTGTGAGATGCTGCGTCTAACTTACTGCTCATGTACTCTTCTCGTTTGTCCTCCAGGTGATCACCGGACATCAACAGAGTAATTTACATATATGGAAATAAGACATCAGCACAGGGTGAAAGCCCCTTAAGAGACTCAGCAGATACCTTTCACACCCTCTCCGGGGATCAATACCTGGTGAGAAGCTGCCCACGACTGCCCTGAAGTGTGACAACTGTCGAGTGGATTAGCGCTGGCAGAGCCATGCAGTGGAGACGACGCCACTGCTGTACGCATGCAGCTAAACTCCTTTATCTACTCTCACTGTTGGGCGTCCTGGTCTTTCTGGTTCAGCAGGTGTGGCAGCCGAGGTTCCCTGGTATGCCCTGGTGGAGAGGCCACCCGGTGGTGTACGGAGGTGGAGGACTTCATGCCACCAAAGCCAAATGGAACACGAGTGCCTCGCATTCAGTGTGGAGGCTTGTGATAGTTCCTCAGCCGACTTTTAAGGCTGACGCTAACATCAGCTCCCAGGAGAAGCGAGGTGTTTTCCCTCCTCAAGCAGATCCAAATTTCGAGAACAACCTTGCAGCAAACACAAGCCAAAGTGAAGTGGGAGACCTTAGTGGCACAATAACCCAGGGGCCTTTCCCTTATATCCTCAATGAACCTAACAAATGCACAGAGAACAGACCTGCACCGTTCCTGGTGCTGCTGATTGCCACCGAGGCTCGGCAGGTGGAAGCAAGGAACGCCATACGGCAGACGTGGGGGAATGAGAGTGTGGCACCCACTCTGGGATTTATACGGCTGTTTCTGCTGGGGAAGAAAGAGGGAGAGCTGGGACTTCTGCAACAAAGGATGCTAGAAGCAGAGAGCCGGAGGCACCACGACATCATTCAGCAGGACTTTCTGGATTCCTACAAAAACCTGACCTTAAAGACTTTGATGGGAATGAACTGGGTAGCGCTGCACTGTCCAAAGGCAAGCTATGTCATGAAAACTGACAGCGACATGTTCGTCAACACCGAGTACCTCATTTATAAGCTGCTCAAGCCAGAACTGAGGCCGAGGATGAACTACTTCACAGGAAATAACATGAGAGGATTTGCACCCAACCGAAATAAAAACAGCAAGTGGTACATGCCCCCCGAGCTGTACCCGGGTGAAAAGTATCCCACTTTTTGCTCTGGGACTGGTTACGTCTTCTCAGGAGACGTGGCGAGGAAAATCTATCAAGCATCTCTAAGCATCCGCTACCTGCACCTGGAGGACGTTTACGTGGGAGTATGCCTGGCCAAGCTCCGGATCGAGCCCACTCCTCCACCCAATGAGTTCCTGTTCAACCACTGGCGGGTGTCTTACTCCAGCTGCAAGTACAGCCATCTGATAACGTCACACGGGTTTCATCCCAACGAACTCCTCAAGTACTGGCACCACCTTCAGAGCAACAAACGCAGCGCCTGTCTCAACATGTTTAAAGAGAGAGCAGGCAAACCACACTCCAACAGAATGGCCGGAGAGAAAGCAGCTCACTGACTGACGACAGCATTCACAAGCTCCTGGTTACGTCAGGATTGACATATCAGCACATTCTCTTCTTAGCTCGATATTGAGGGTTTAATCTGAGGGTTTCTGCATAAATACTGTATGAAAACTGATGAAGTGTTCTGAAACTATTGCCAATTTTTCTACAAAAGAGATGAAAACCGTTTCTGACCACTGAAGAGTTTACGTACACAGTTCTATTTTGTGAAAGGACGAGCGGTGTTTCACTGTGGTGCAAAAGCTATTTTTTTTGGGTAACTAATTAGCTCTACCGTATGTGTTTTATAAAACTAAAGTGGACAGGGTACTGCAAATAAACATTTCCACATGTGTATCAGATAGTCATAATGTCATTTAAAAAAAAAAAAAAACTCTCAATGTGAACTCTGCAGCTACAAGTTGAGATTGCTGCAGACTGTAAAAGCAGCTGTGACTCGGTTTCCTTCCTGTAATGCTGATTCTCTTCAAATGATATCATTAGAAGGACTCAGAGACATTTCTTTTTCATAGTTTGTTTACATTTAAAAATTATGATTTCTAATTCATCCAATTTACCAACTTGAGAACGCACACGAGTGCCAACACACCGACGCTGTGACTCATGACTTCATGATAAACATCTAATTTCAAGGTCCTCAGTAAACGTGTCTCATCGAGGTTTCGGCTAGCAGCTGTTCCTGCAGCCCTGTGAGCAGACAGAGTGCTTTTCTTACCGTCACTGACTTCAGGGTCATGCCGTGGTAGGTGCCCATGGTATCGATTTTGAAACCCTCGGTTTCTAAGAAAGCAAAGAGTCGCAGATTACTGGCAGAACAAAAGGGATCATTTTCAAAAAAAAAACCCAAGTGTAATTAAATATAATGCCTGAACACAGTATTGGATAACACGTTTCAGTTCTTCTCAGCTCATTTTTAAACACTTTCAAGCTTTTCAAGGAAACTTCTGATCTTTCCTTTATTTATTTTTTTTATGTGTCATCGCTAAAGCATAAAATGTGAGCAATAAAATCCCTCTTTCCAAAAGTGTACAGTTTGACAGCTGACACTGTGATGTGGCTAAAAATGGCAAAAGAGGTGAGCGACTTAAAAAAAGACTGTCCGTGACGTGTGGTCGGCATGTACAACAAAACAACAGCCCGCATATGGTTTTTAATAGGCCGCTGTGTGACTCATGCTGCAATAAAGACAGACGCAGACGTTTTATATCTGATCTTGCTTTCATTTTTTTTTAAAAGCATTATCACCTGATTTACTAATTCATCGTCAGTATAGTTCAGTTTCAGCCCCCAGGCTAAAAGCTATTTATTCCATAAAACACAGTCTCAGACTAGTTTACAGCATCAGGTTTTTTTCTGGCACTAAGAACCTGTGAAGACTGTAATTGTCTTGGTTTTGCTCTAAGCAGCAGGTGCAGGATTTGGGGTGAAGAACACAGTCTGCCTGGAGAGAATGTGATAGTCCTACAGAAGCATGTCTATCGATTGCACCCAGTGGAAATCAAACACGTCCCTTATAAATAAGTACAATGGTATTCCGGTAGGAGGAAGTGATGCTGCTGTGCGGGCTCTGCTTACATTTTCCAGAGGTGATATCAAGCATTACCGACCTGCGGATCACTGCTGAAGCAAGCGATACACGCTGTCACACCTTTGGAAAGAATCAGTACTATAATCAGCAGCAGACGCTAAAATGAAACTCACCCTCTTTTCCTTTGAAACGCTCCTGATCGTATCTGTTGTAGGCGGCCGGGACAGGCTGCTTGTTCCTTAGGGACGGGTCCTGGGAGCAAGACAAACAATTAATTCCAGCACATACCCGCCAATATGCTCGTTAGTCTAAATCTTAGCGGCGATCAAATCTCTTCCTGCACAGATAATTACCGAGGCTTGTCCTAAACATGTCTGTCGCTTTGGACAAAACCCTCTGCCAAATGAATACGTGTACATTTCAGGCGTGATTTATCTGAGAGCTGCCATGTGTGAGAGCTGGCAGCCGTTAAGGTCGGCCGCTTAATGGGCATCAGCTGACTCTTCAGCCACGCGGCGAGTTTGATTGTTTATGATTTGAACATACACAAACAGACATAAGCGAAATCACTGCACATCCATAAGCCTGTTGTTTTGACTGCTGTCTGGTAAAATGCATAGGACCTTTAATATTCGAGGAAACAGAACTCTAAAATGATTATAAAATCAACTGAAAGCATCATATTTACCACTTGAGTAGTGTTCTGTGCTGGTCTCTGCTCCGGTGCACGGCCTTCTTCTCTGGCTTTCACGGACTGGAGGATGGCAAAGATGTTCTTCGAGAAGTTCTGCGAAGGAGCAGATATGTACATGATGAGCTGAACATCCTCAAACAAAAAAAGATGTGAACTTTCCTTGACGAGAAGTTCAACTAAAATACATTTTAAAGGAACGTACCAGATGTTAATTACTCTGTGTTTTCAAGGGAGCTACTAAATCTAAAACCATAAATTGTACATCTTATTCAGAAACACACTGTGGTAAAAAGGTTGAGATATCTGACAACATAAACACATATAAGTCAACGTTAGCCCCATTGTCAGCAAAAATAAGCTCCCAGAGAGACATGCAAGAAAGAGATGTGCTTTAAAACAGCATCTTGTCAAGTGTAAAAACACATAACACTGTTTAGTTTAAAGGCCAAACCGCTATCATTTAAATATAATGGATAAAAACACCATCAACTTTCATATGAGCATGTAAGTCCATCTGTGAAAATCTTACGTTTGCTGCCATCTAGTGGTTAAAATCTGCCACATACTGTCCAAGTTGAGCCATTTGGCTGTTTTCCCACAACCCCGAGGCCACTGTATCTGAGAGCTCAACAGGTTTGATAAAATACAAACTCTAGTACATACAGTAGTTTGACGTTCAGCTACGAATGGAGGCCTGAAATCCCCCTCCAGCGTTCTAGCCGGTCTACACTCACGAGTTCACATCACAAAACGCTGCTCAAAGTCACCATCAGTACGATCCCACTGTGACGCTGGTCCATGAAACATGCTAATGACTGTTTCCCGTTGTATTTCCGTGGTTGCAGGACAAGAGCAATAAGATTTAAAGAGCTCTTGTCCATGTTTACAGAATGTAATGTACAAGGCAGCTGTAGGTTTAGGATGACTGCAAGAAATCAAAGTTTCAGGGTCAAACCTGAGAACACCCTCACATCCAAAACACACAGAAATGCAGCAGCTCTAGTGAGTCAGAGTTGCAACGTGACAGTAATTTCAATCCAAAACAACAATATGTGACTGAAAAAAGTCACACGATACCCTAATGTGTATTTGAGAGAAAGTTCCAGCGTTTTGAGAAAACATTACTGGATGTCATAGGCTTAAAGTGACCTTTCCAGTGCTCTGAAGAATGGTTGTCCTGGTCCTCCAGACCCTCTCTCTGCTGACAATATCCCTGGTGACGTCCACTTCTGCGTCCACAAAGCTCCTCTGCTTCAGGGTTATGTCGTCATCCAGATCTGTCTTGATGGTCGAACGTTTCTTTGCCATAATCTTGGCTTTGATGGCGGCGATTTTCTCCACTGACATGGCCTCGGACAGCGACCTGGAAAGAAAAGGACCAAAGTTTTGATAATGTTGACAGCTGTCTGCTTCGCGGTGGGTACGTGGGTGTCAGCGTTCGCCAGACAGGCGACATATAGAGCAATCAATTAATACTGACCAGTTTCTATAGATACTACAGAATAAAAATAGCCACAAATTCCTCTGATGAAATCATATGAATTGGGGAGGCTATTGTTTGTATTTTGAAATCCCTTTATGCAGAATTATTGTTATTCTAATACCTGATCTGGTCAGTCTGCACAATGCCCTCTTTGTGGCCTTCCAGACGGGCGGCCAGACGCTCCTTGTCCAGACGCACTCGCTCCTCATCCTGAAGATGAAAGCAGCATTTACACTATTAGCAAACTACAGAACAAAGCCTGATGTAACAACAAACATCTGCGATTTGCTAAGTCTGAGTTTATAAAAGTCGTACTGCACACATCAGGATTACGTAAGTAAGCAGCAGCATTGTAAAACTGGTGTTGTTGATTGAGCTTAATGCAGAGTTATGAAATATATCGTGAATCACACTTAACATTTGGGACAAAATCTAATAAGTTACACTCTCTACCAGCTACACTGAATCCTAACTATTGTATCACTCCTCCCTTTGCCTTGCATGAGATGAAGGAAGTTACCCTGTTACTCAGCTGAAAGAAAAATTTTGCAACTGAACCATATGCACAGACTGTCTTGTTTTGGCCACATAAACACTGGCTGTGTTTTTCAAATGCCACAAGATGCTATGTTCATTAACTGCATTTAATAAAAACTCATATACACATTTGTAAACATGTTGGTCTTACGCCGTGTTTTTATCAATACCAATAATAAAGAAAAAATGTAAGAAAGTTGTACATTGCTTTCTCATAAACACTTTACTTCAGACCTACACCGACAACTGTACGCTGAAATTGTTATTTTGTGTGGATCAGAGACTCAAACTTGGTGAGTGTAATCCTCCAGGGCGAGACTGAGCTGCACTGACCAACATGTGATTATGAAGTTATATGTGGTTATTAGTTGTCAGTTTAAAAAAAAAAAAAAAAAACACTCAGGATATTCTTGCATGCTTACCTCAATCCGTGGTTTTTTGGCTTCAGAAGATACCTCATCAGCTGCTCTTTTGACTAAATAAAAACAGGACAAAACAACCATTACTTCTTAGTTTTGCACAGACTTCCTTCATTTAAGCAGCACAAATCCAATACATAACATTTGAAAGAAAAAAAAAGCGACATGACATGGTATTATTCTATCCTCAAACAAATCTGAAAGATTAAAGGTTCCTGCAAATTCCACATAATTTATATCGAAGAAATTACCTTGTGTTGGCCTTTGTAAACCTATTTCTATAGGCGCACTTCTGTCGATGCTCGTTGAAGTAGCTGCAAAAGCACAAAAGCGGTTAATAGGTTATCTACATCTTCGAAGATCAACAGGACAAAGGGTGCTATGCATAAAGTTTTAAACAATGAAACCTGCCATTATCATGTTGTAGTGAATCAGATCAACACACTGCAGGCTGACCACAGACTCTACTTACAGCTTTCTCCATTGAGATACGACAGTAAGCCCTTTCGATCGGGTCGTCTGACAACAGGGATGTTCTCTGTCTGGAAGCACCATACAATCAGGTCACTCAAAAACACTTTCAGAGTACAGAAATGTGAAGGATGTTGCATGTGAGATACAAAACCAGAGGCAGAAACAGAGGCAGGGGATTGCACTTACTGCAGCTCTTCGCACATACGACGGATGCGGCAGATGCACATTGTTGAGCAAGAACAAGATTGAGTCCAAAGTATAGTACTCTTTGGGCTGACCCTCTTTTCCAGTACTACAGGAAGAAACACAGGCAGACACATAAGAATCACTCAAGCTTTAGGAGCACTTGATGGTAAACGTACACATGGATCGTACACATAAGCGGCTCTGGTGTCACATAAACACTATCAACAGTTATCCGGCTAGCAGCTAATCTGCTGTTGGCTGCAGCTTTGTTTCCTGCGTCACATGGACAAAGTTTGCTTTAAGCATCGTAAAGAAAGCTGCTCACAGTCGCTATTGCTGGCTTTATAAACGCAAGTGTTTCCCCTTTGAATTTATTAATCACTACCTCTATAGGAACACAACTCAGAGCTAGCTTACGTCGCTAATTAGCTAGCATCACAAGTTTGGCTCTCTCGAAAATACATTTTAAGTTTGAAAGCATAAACAGACATTAATGACGGCTAGCAAAATAGGATACGCGTTCCGTGGCACGAAACCTTCGTATCACGCTAAAGTAACCAAAAAGTGCTTCAAGTTTTAAGCAAAGCAACGAGGAGTTATGTTAGCATCTTAGCATCCCGTAGCTAGCGAGCCTTCCGCCGTCACTAGCACCACAAGGCACCGCTGAGCTGCAGCCGCGGGGCCTCCGGAACACATTTACGCATATTCTTAGCGCTGACATACCCCCAGATTATGTAGTTGGTCTTGACATTTTTCGGCCAGGAGAACTCTCCAAATATCACTTCGTCTCCTTTCGCGACGATTTCTTTTTTCTGGATGTTATACTGACGAAGAACACTCAACACATCCGCCATCTTCACTTGTCTTGATGTAGTGTGTAGCCGAGGCCCCCAGTTATCAACATCATGCGGCCGCGCAGGATGCCTGATCAGAAATAAACTTTCATTAAAAAAATATTATTTTACACTAATTTTCTTCTAGCCATAAAATTAGGAATTCAAACAGTAGATGCATTTTATTAGTTGCTGTCTAAGCTGATTAAATACCGGTGCTTTGCATAAGGTTGTCTGTGTAGATTCTCATTATCCAAGTCATGATAGTCCTGTTAGTAAAAAACAAACACACCTGTCAAGGCCAGTGATATACTCAGATGATACTACAATGTAAATTCCCTCAAATTCTGATAGTAGTTTGTAAAATGAAAAACAACACTGTGAACAGCAGCAACATGTTTATTAGGGAGGGATTTACATTGCCACTACAGTCAAGTACTTACATGTTAAGCAAAAAAAAAAACAAAAAACAAACAAAACATGAATACAACGTACAATATGATGGAAAAGAAGTTAATCATGGAGGTGAAACACTTTGTGACTACCACACCTCCTGTCAGACCACAAACATCGTATCAAAGGGTCACTTCATACAAAGATTTTAGCGTTATAACGTTTGGACCCGTGACCAAAAACACAGCGGACATTTGCTTTAAAAATGAAAGTATGTGCGGACAAACATCCTTCACAGTTACATGGTCGGGAGTTAATAAAGACAGAAGTACACCAGAGTGAATGACAAGTAACAAACTTAGTGAATGCTGTCAATCGCTACAGCCATTACCGTTACTTTGACAAAAACAAGAAGCACCACAGTAGTCTTTTGCTTGCATTGTTCCCCAAAAACAAATTGGCCCCTAATGTTAAAACACTCTAAGCAGTGTGCTTGTTCTGTATTTGGACAAATATAAATCACTGTACTTTAAATCTCTAGTGTTACAGGTCTTTAAAAAAAAAAACAAAGTACATTCAGTTTATTGTATTCAGGGAAGGTTAGTTTTTGCATAACAAACATTCTTACATTGAAGATACAGAAACAGAACTGTAGCTGGGATTCATCCGTCTCTGGACATAATAATAATAATAATAATAATAATAATAAAGTCAAATCCCAATTATGATGCATAGAGTTCTGACTAAAACATGAGGAAAAAGTCCATTTCACCAGCTTACAGTAAACTGACTTAAGTCCCAAACATTGGCATTTTTTTTTTTTTTGCAAAATCCCAAATAACCCAAAACCTAAATGATCCCCCTAAAGTGTAACGTCACATTTAAGAGCACCAAGGGTATTTCTGTGTGGAATAAACTCGACAAGAGCAGAACAGACGACTCAGTTTTACAACCAAACTGACTTGGGGGGAGAGGGGGGAGGGAAGAACAAATATCAAAACAATTAAAGATAAGCTAAAGGCAAGGGTTATGTCAAAGGAATAAGAGCTGCTACTATTAAAAAATAACCTTTTCTGACCAAATAAATCAAAACAAAATTTAACAGAATAACAAGAACAAGGTGTCCTGTTGACTTTTGGTGATTTGTTTTAATTCTCACTTTTATATATGTTAATAATTTATAACAATGCTACATAAAATAGAGGGATAGGCATTCAGGTTTCTAACACGAACCTGCTAAACCATACCATAGATACATACTGTGAACTACAGGAAATCCTCTTGAAATAAACCTACAGTTTCACTACGTCTCTAACATTCACCGTTCCTCTTATCTGATCTGCCCACTTCTTTCTATAAATGAGAGGAGTTTATCGTTTCAGGGGTTAGTGTCTCACCAGGAACCATCAAAGCCATAAACGGCCCGTACGCAACGACACGTCTTGTCACTTCCTTTTCGACTGTTGCAAAAAATATATGCACGTAACATTTCCGGAGTGTTGTCCAGCCCGCTGGACACTTTGTCAACTGACCTGTAAGCGACGCAATACAAAAAGAGAAATTGGAATTGTAAATGTCAGCATCTTTTGGATTCGTGCTGTTTTCGGGCACTCTGCATGATGCATGAGCCACGTCGGTCCCACTTTGTGCCTTCTGTTTCTGTTCCCACGACATGATTCAGAGACGGTCCCCGACGCTTCATCAGATCAGATCCCGGGCCACGTTAGAAATGACGCTCAGAGCTCCGACGTCGAAGCCGCAGACGCTCAACAAGCCCCTGTCTTCGGCGTCGGCCATGGCATGTCCGATGGACGTCAGCCCGCACATCAGCAGCTTGGAGGTGGCTCCTGATGTCTGTAGAGAAGACACACATGCAATGTTTTTTTTTTGTCTCTGTGGAGGTATGCTCACAAGTACTGGTAATGTAATTGCATTACTGTAAAATCACTGACGGACTCAGGGACAGTTTTTATATGAAGGCAAGAGCGCTAATCAATGCACACCAATAATATCTGGTCCAGCAGTGGGACATGGGCATTAAAAACTTTACAGCAACCATTCTCTGCACCTTACAGCTCCCTTTACTGCTCACCTCACCCCTCCACGTCATTTATTTTGACAGTTTTTCCGTATATATTCTTTATATATAATGTACATATTCTTCTTTGATAACATGTATAACTGTACATAATGTTTATTTCATCTTTAACAATTTCTTGTACTTTCATTGTGAGATCGTGTCAGACACAAACACGTTTTAAAATCCACGTTTAAATGAATAAAAGGTAAAGTCTAAGAGCTCTGATGTGCAGCTCTCACGTTAGAACCAGGCGGCTGAATCGAGAGTGCACTGAGTGGTAAAATAAATATAATCATTCCCCCTCTCATCGTATTTGCATAAACGCTGCTTTTTGCCATCAAACCTTTTTTTTTTATAATCTTCATAGCTCTTCATTATAACAACCCATTCTGCTCGACTGAAGCAGGCGGCATGTCATCAGTCCATTTTGTGCGGAAGAGGAGTCAAATAACCAATTTTGTGAGAGTGTTGTGATATCTAGTTTAGAGTTTGTCAAGCCAGCTAACACCCAGAAAGCCTCGCGATATTGAACCTGCTTCCACTGAGTTTAATAACTGCTCTGTGCTAAATGTACCAACCAGTCATTTCACATATTTATCTAAGGAATCAACAGTAATACATAGCAAAATATAAACCGGCCCTATGCGACACCAGTCAGTTACCTGACAGCAAGCGATCCACTTCCTTTTTTTAAGCTTTAATATAAATACGAAACAGAACCTCATCCAGTTTCTCCGATCACGTCCGCACACATCACCGTAATTTATTTAACCTGGAGCAGCATAATTAGATTCTCAAAAACAATCCTGACCACAGAGGACATGATATAATTACATCCCTTCCCAAAGCAGACATAAGTGAATAAATGTACTTGTCTGTGCTTCTTTAGAGACTCCAGTGGGCTGGCAGCAAACGTCCATAGCGGGTTGTTGGTCAGAATTATGAAGACGTCGACGGATTTGCCGTTCTCTGTGGCCCACGTGATGGGAAGGCTGCAGTCTGTGCTCCCACTGGGGATCTGGAACGTACAGATCAGAGGTCAAGAGCAACATTTGTTCGGCGGGATTAACGTCAGTCACCTATTAGACTATTTCCAACAGGTATTGTGTAGTTATGGATGGTTGTAAAATTCCACTAGTCCTGAAGCCAAGTGTCGAGTGTCTGTTATTAATATCTTTGAAGCATGCCTCACCTTAACCAGTTCAACTGTCGCTTCTGCCAGCGTCATGTCAGCAGAAACAGAGCAGGGAACCACAGCGCCTTCAGAGTAGGCCAGCACATGTGTGTCTGCCTCTGTCCTCGCGAAAATCTGTGTCAAAAGCAGAGCATGAAGTTACAGTTGGATTCCTCTCTGGCACATGTGGTCCACAGCAAAACAACCAAACACGCACACATTGTCACATCTTACTGTTTTCTCGACAAATCTGAGAATGATTGTCGTCTGTGCTGCGTCTCCCTGCTAATAAGTGCTGGAAGGCCTTTGGACTAAGACACCGGAGAAGGAATTTCCCAGGAATCTACAGTATGTGTCAACAGACCAATTCCTTCACCAGGCTTCCTCCAAAGATGGAGCGACCTGATCCCTGCTTAAAGACGCAGCTGTTCCGACTGGAACGACAATCACCCACGCACATAGCTCCGGCGCAGTCTTACCATGGTGATGGCTGCAGCGGCGACAGCAGTGCTGATGGATGTTCCCGGGACAACGCTGCTCAGCGACGTGCTCACGTCCACCGCCACTACGAAGCGTTTACCAACCGGCTCCACATTCTGGGGACACAAACAGATTAAATGCGTTATCTGATTACTCCTTCCTTTCTGACAGAAGTTGTGATAATAACAAAAACCCACCACAAAACTCTTGTAAAAGGCCGAATCCATCGCTTTGAGGATGCTGCCGTCTGGTTCCCACTTTGTTTTGCCCTGATAGCCTTGGCCCCTTTTGTAGTTTTCCGAAGCCAGGAGTATGCTGAAAGGGTGGATCTTTGCCTGATGATTCCAAGACAGGTTAAATATTGGAATAATGGCTCGTGTTTGTTCAAATGCATAACTGCAAATGAATTAGAAAAGGCTGCGGGTTTTACCTTCTTTAGTACTGTCTCGCTCTGAATCCTGTCACAGACCGCTTGCGTTTCTGAGCTTCCGGGTTCAAGGACTTTATTTGACGTCATCTTTCCCAAGATCCTCAGCACCGAGTGGAGAGGCATTTCCTTCAGCAAAGCTCTCCACACCTGCAGACAACAATAACCACAAATTCCCGTAGCAGATTTATGCCAGAATTCAAAAATACACTCAATTTGTGCACCATTTTTCCATGTTTAAAAATACATTTGGCCAATCCAGTATCGTCCAGGATCACTGTTTGATGGTGACAAAAGAAGCTCTGAAAAGACGCCTCCAGACTAAAATCTACGACAACAGTATGAATTAGAAATAATCACCTGTTTGGACTTCAGATGGTCTGTCAGCAGCTGCTCCCTCTCCAGTTTGTGCTCTTCTATTAAGTTGATGACCTCCGTTTCGTCACAGCTGTGCTTGACCTTCTCCACCACTTCAAGATACGAAAGCACTTTGACAACCTCCTCTGAGTTCTCTTTGTCGGCGTAGGCAACCTGCACCTCCTTCCATCCCTTTGTTACGTATTTGCTGATCAAGGCAATAGCTGGAAACAAAAACATAGAATTCAGGATGCAGACGGATACGACTTTAAACTATATTACAACACAAGTGGATAAAGTTAGGAACCAATTCAACCTGGTGCTCATTTGTCAGACTGTTGCTTGAAGAATTAACTGACTTTCTGTTTCTTTTTGTTAATTACTTTGCCGTATTTCACTTCTACAAACACGAAGCTTAAAACCTTTAGTCAAACCCATACAGTGGTTCCTGTCGGTGTTGGAAACGCACAAACGTTGCACAACTGCTCTGAAGAGAAACAAATAAAGGACAAACAGGCAGAAGGCCGTAGGTAGAACATCTCCAACAATGACTCATATGAGCCAAAGCTGCACACGCACTGTGGCTCCACGTCGATAAATTATAAATATATTATAGTCTGACTGTCTAGTCGATGTAATGTCCGATTGAAGCCATGTGTAAATAGAGCAGGTAACCGTCTAGAGAATTCACAGCGTACAAGCGTGGGTGCTGATGTACGTCTTATCCTGCCGACTATACGCTCAACCCAGGCGCCTGCTTTTGTGAGAATATATCGTGCATACCTTTGAAACTTCCACTGCAGACAACGTCCTAACCTGTTTGTCTGGATATTATGTGTGATAACGGCTCAAACTGCACACTGCCTTAGAAATTCTACAAGCAATGATCTTAACATGTTAAGATCTTTAACATTCACTTCCACTGCTATGCTGACGACACCCAGCTCTACCTCACCACTACACCCTCGTCCTCACTACCACCCACCTCCCTCACCAACTGCATCTCTGAAATAAAAACCTGGTTCACCATAAACTTCCTTAAATTAAACAGTAATAAAACAGAGGTTCTCCTCATGGGCACAAAATCCACTTTCTCCAAAACCGACAGCTTTTCCCTCAACATTGACAACTCCTCTGTATCACCCTCCCCCCAGGTTAAGAGTCTGGGTGTCATCCTTGACGGTACTCTTTCCTTTCAGTCTCACATCAATAACATTACCCGGTCTGCCTACTTTCACCTACGAAGCATCAATCGTCTCCGCCCCTCCCTCACCCCCCACACTGCCGCCATCCTGGTTCACAGTCTCATCACCTCCCGTCTGGATTACTGCAACTCTCTCCTCTTTGGCCTCCCTCACAAATCACTCCATAAACTTCAACTGGTCCAGAACTCAGCTGCCCGCATCATTACAAGAACTGCCTCTATCCACCACATCACCCCTGTCCTCCAACGGCTCCACTGGCTCCCGGTTCAGTTCCGCATTCAGTACAAAATCCTCCTGTTAACCTTCAAGGCAATTCACAACCTCGCCCCCCCATATCTGTCTAACCTCCTCCATGTTCCCACTCCCTCCCGCTCCCTCATATCGTCTTCCTCCCGACACCCGTCTGCCCCCTCCGCCCGTCTCACCACCATGGGGAGCAGAGCATTTAGCCGCTCTGCTCCCCGCCTCTGGAACTCACTACCACCCTCTCTCAGAAACATTGACTCACTCTCTCATTTCAAATCTCAACTCAAAACACACCTGTTCATAACTGCTTATTCCCTGCTGTGACAATTGCACTGCCTGATGTATTTATATTGTTGTATACTGTATTATTGTGTATTTTATTGTTGTTTCTTTTATCTTTTGTAAGGTGTCCTTGAGTGACCAGAAAGGCGCCTTTAAATAAAATGTATTATTATTATTATTATTATTAAAATTTTACTTCCATTGACACCTAAGAAACTGGATAGAGTTCTAACCTTCACAAATCATTTTGATATTCTAATGTGAGGTGGATTTGCCCATATTGTGTAAAAATGTAGGTCTGTGTAAACTCACCGTCTTTAGCTGGTTTGGTGTGAGAGAGTCTGAGCAGATCCTGGTGCGACCAGCCCTCTCTCTGTTTACATTTGGTCACAGCGGCAGCTAGAATCATGGCATCTTGCTCGTTGTACCAGTCAGACACTGCTTTCCTCAGGGCACGTCCCCATATCCCACATTTCATGCCCTCTTTTAGTTCCTTCTTGTACTGGATGAAAGAAAACAGATGGGCAGGGTCCCGACACACTTCCTTCAGGGCTTTGAACGCCGCCTGCCTGGTCTTCAGCTCCGAGTGCTGGGAGCACAGAGCCAAGGCAAAAAAGGAGGGGCCCGGTCTGACGGCTCGGCCATCCTGAGAGAACCTTTTTATCTCCTCCACCACCTCAACGCCTCGGCCCTCCTGAAGCATGGCGAGCAGGGCCCCGGCGTTCTCGATGCTGACGCGACCCTCCTCTCTGGCAGTGTAGACGTCTCCCTCCGAGCCGTAGCAGAGGAAGCGGCATAGCCTGGCCTTGTCGCTGACCTCCCACGGACAGCCGCCGCCGCCTGTGGAGTTGAGGGTGTGGTTGCTCGTGGTGCTTCCTGATGGCTCCATCGTCACACTTGAGAAGGCCTGAAACAGAAAAGCAGTGACATTTGATTTAAAAGAAGCTTCTGCGCAAGTTCAAGGAAGATCAGCTCACTTACACTCTGTCTCTACAGCTCTATGGGAGTGTGAGGGCACTATCCTCCCCGTCACTTCCACTTTTCCACGCTGTCAAAATCACTTCAATCTCAGTTTCGCAAAAAAAATAAAACAAATCACCGCAATACTGTCACTCTTTCTCTCGGGAAGTTAATCATGCACTCCTAATCCATCACATCGCCACCTCCTCCGGATGTCTGGGATGTCTGAGCCAGTCTTTATCAGGCGTCTGACAACTCTACTCCACCACCTGCCTCTAGACTGGCCTCATCTCCTACTTCCCTACTTCTTATATCACCTCTCCTTATTGATCTAAATTTTATATGCTTTTACATTCAACCGACACTGATTTAAGTAATCAGTGTCTGTAATTACGTGACTGAGCCGATCCCTGATGTAATCAAAACGCCACAGGTTCGAGCTCCAGTGACATTTCTATTGAGATGAAGCCTACAGTGTTGACTTGGTTAGCTCCATTACTTACTCACTGCCTCCGCGCACTGACAGAAATAGCTTAAAGCCGATTACTGGACATGATGATACACACAAGACCGATAGGAGCCACAGTGAGCCGTTCATAGAAGATGGTAGAGATCTCCACCACCCGTAATGTTGGAGGTGGAGATCTTTTAATAACTGCTAACTCCACCTGAAGCAAGCTAACGCTGCCAGCTCAGATTTTTTTTTTTTTTTGCTAACTTAACTAGTTAAGCTAGCAAAAGGAGGACAGTCCGGGCGATGCGAAGTTAAGTTTTAACATGTTTATACCACAGATAAACGTGTCTCCAGCTAGTTACTGTGGTCAAATACAGCCAGTCTGCTCCTAACTTCTATTATCGAGGCTGTATTTACCGTCCGCTCTCCTCTCAGCACTAACTCACCAATCTGAGCTCCTTTCTGGCCGGACACCGGAAAGCTCGGCTAGCCGGGATGGGCAACCGCCTGCCTAAATACGCAAAGCTTCAATAAAATGTGGTGATGTTGGTAAAAAAAACACACAAGGCTGGTGAATTAAAACACCCCAGTGGACGGTGAAGGGATATAAACGCGTACTTACCACAACGTATAAGCGCGGTGCTCAAGTTTTGGATAGCGAGATGCAGACAGGCCTCCCCTCTGACCGTCAGTGAGATAACCAGGGGCGGCGCCGCGAAGGATGCTGGGAGACAGAGTACCATCACACACACAGCAGCACATCAGGTCAACACGCTGGGGAGTATGGAGGAGTGAGGGTGCCAAATTATCAAAATAAATCTATGAAAGGATAATAAAATA